ATAGTTATAGCAAAGTGGGGCAATTTGGAACATAATTAGTACAGTTTAAACATTGCAAGAACGGTGAAATATATACACTATTTATTTGATATAAAGTTATACAGGTTGTTACAACTTTCACATTTACAATTGAGCTTACGATCTATTACAAATTACATAACGTAAATTTATTACAAATTATATTTATTTACGAATAGTGTAGAGTAGTGAAAAAAACGAATGGTCACAAATTATAGTTGTTATTATTGTTCAATAAATAAACATTTAAATAAATAGTAATACATTTGATTGATTGATTTTACAAGGAACGAATATTTTTTTAGCTACATAAGTCGCCGGTCAGACTTTATTTGTTTCTAAAATGTATTATTGGTCCAAAGACTTTCTATATATACTTCTAGACGAGTTCTATTCGATAAACTTTTTGTATCTCCTTCAGTCGACTGTTAGCGGGCAAGAAAACTAATTATTTGTTTTGTAAACCACGAACGTTCGATAAACTAACACCAATTTTGTTTAATGTTACTAAGAAAACGCTGTCAGTTCATGTTGATATAGCACGCACATAAATGCGTGCTTTGTAGTTTATTTCAGTTATATATGTGATCTTATATAATTATTAAAACCAAAGGAACACCACTAAATACGATCCTGAGCCAACTGCATCCATCGGCTTTCTGTATCTTTTACCTGGTCGTCACGCCATCTATGGGGGGAGAGGGTTCGACCGCCACTCGAAACTCTTTTCCCAATCGGTTGTCGTGGCTGATATATGGTTGTGGCTATGTAGTCTGCCAATTTCCACTTCAGCTTAACCATTGGGCTTAGGAATCTATCAGACAGAAGGCGTTCAGGCGTTCAAGCGTTCCGCGTTCGCGTTCATATGTTGTATTGCATTACATAGATACACCAAGACAGCATGCGTTTTGACCGCGTCGGTCAACCAGAACATTGCGCGTAATCCAACGAACCGAAGCAAAACGCGACGCAACTGAACGCGTGACCGCTTTCTGTCCGATAGAACCCTCAGACAGAAGGCGTTCAAGCGTTCCGCGTTCGCGTTCTGCGTTCAGTGTGTTGTATTGCATTACATAGACACACCCAGACAGCAGGCGTTTTGACCGCGTCGGTCAACCAGAACATTGGCGGTCGTGATTCGTGAGCAACTGAACGCGTGACCGCTTTCTGTCCGATAGAACCCTAAGTCGGTTACTTTTATTATAATAGTGCAAATATCCATTATTTCGTATTTGCCTACGAAATAATGGATATAACAGTAAGTGTAGTAAATGAAAATAAACTACGTGGCATAGTTAACCCACCTACCCGCCAAGCTGGCACCCGCGTGATCCACAGCTATGGCATAGTTTTTTTGTTCTGAATTTCCAGTGTAGCAGTATATATAGAAGCCTTTGTATTGGACGGTATTTTTATCCATGACCAAATTCATGAATCTTATTAAAAAAATGACGCATTTTTCTCGACCAATTTACAATTATTGATCTCTATGCATTTGGTATTTTATGCAAACGCCATGACATACCATGTACGCAGTGAATCTATCTCTTGAAAATAAAGTACTAACATAATAGTAAAACGATCGGTATAGTTCTTGCAACTCACGAAGTCGGGCGGGCTTACTTGTACACCAATCAATCTGTGAGACCAAAATCAGTATATATTTTTTACGGTGAAAGGTCAATTTAGCGCGGACTCAAACCACTTATAGACTCTGAACACGTCGCGATCGTGACTAAGTGCGCACTGAGGTAAAATTGTGCATGTGCATACCTGACAACCATCAATATAAATGATAAGTTATAGTCGTGCGAATGAAACATTTTCATCGTTTTAAGCATAGATTAAATCAGCGCCATCTCTTAAATACTCATGCACTATCACGGAACCAGTGTTTCCACTTATGATTTTGGTTTTGCCCTAGAACCTGTAGGAATACTCCTTAAATTATCGTAAAAAAAAACCAAAACAGCCTTATTTATTATACCTAATTTTCAATATTTTAAAGAACGACATCAATGCAAGTTTTGAATATCATTTCACGATTAAAAATCTTAAGATTTATGATGAAGAAGACGTTCTCATTTTCAAATTATAATAACACTTAATCTCGTACGAATAATGAATATATAACTAATTAAAATATTATATCATTATACCATACCATATATACATACAAAAAAAACTTTTTCATTCTACCCTTTGTAGCTCTTTTGACACTATCCCCTTCGATAAATCTTTAAAAAAATACATTGGGTGGGTATAAAAAACAGGGTTTTCTGAAGTACGATTTTACCCCAAATTATCCAAAACACTGTCAACTTTAAGAAACGCCTAAAGCTCTACCTATATTAGTAGATTTACCCTAAAATAGTGCAAAATATCTAAAAGTGGTAACACTGCACGGACGCACGTCACGCATTGGTGGTCGCGTTGGTGCTCCATAAACATTTTCGCACCAAGGAGTCGGGTGTCATTTTGTTTGTTCAATGACTCGGTCCATACGCAGTAGTATGAGTCTATGCTGACAACATTCATAGTCAAACGGACTTCGTGAGATTGAATAACTATATGGTTAACGACGGTAGGCTCGCAACTAATCGCTCCGTCAACACGTTCGTTCATCTGTGAGACAAGCACCCTCGACTTCGTGAATCGCGAGAACTATACCGAATATTGAAGCCCCATCTGACGTCAATTGTAGATTTCATTTGACGCCGGATGAGGCTTCTATTTTAACGATTTTGAATCTCTATTATCGTCGTATAATTTTAATATCTCTCTCCCATTTACCTAGCACATATTTGTGTAATTTATTTCGAGAGATCTTTTCACAGCATTTAAATATAAGTAATGAAATTGTAAGACTCGGTTGCATTATGAAGTTAGTCTATATTAATTTTTCTTTCGTGTTATTTTATAGCCATCTTAAAAAGTTCTGTTAATATTAAATTTTAAAATCAATATCGTATAGTAAATATACATTTTAATCACATTTAATTTTTTATCTCTAATGTAACCGAGAATATCACATTGAACATTCTTTCTTTATATGATATAATCTGTGTTATTTAGAACGTTATACTGCAGGTGTGAGAGAGATAGAGAGATCAGAGATCTTTGTATCGCATCAGCAGTCTATGCTATTTACGATAAAGGATGTGACTGTTTCATGAAATGATAATAGTCTAGAAAAAAAAATAAAAATATTAAAAAAAGAACAAAAACGCGCTCCAAAATGTCGAAAAGTTTGCTGATAATTTTATATAGAATAAAAATATTTGGAATCTATTTTATTTAATTACTTTAGAGTATTAAGATGTATGAAAATTATGAGTAAAAATTGGAGAAAATTGACTGTAAATTTGTGGAAGATACAACTTGCACGAATATATGTTTTTTTTAATATTTGAGATTTTTTTAAATATTAATGTAATAAGCGATCTAGTTAACAATGTAATATTATAAAACGAAACTAAACGAAATTATAACCACTGTAATTAGAAAGATCCCGTCACATTTCTTATTTTTTCTTTCATCTCTCAGTTAAGGGCTGTATTTTACAGCTGTTCCTTTCCAATATTCATTGTGTGACGTAACAGCCAAACTATTTGACTGGTAAAAAATAAGAGAAAAGTTTCACAAGCTGACAAATTGGCTTAAATTTTATTGTTATAAATATCGTTCATGGATTATAATATTTACGACTTTTATTTTTATATTATTCTTATTTTAATAATATATTGTTAACTATCGCATTTTTATAACAAAGATATAATGTAAGAATTTCGATTAATTCTACACGACAAAATGTAATTTAGATAAATATTTTGATGTATTTATAATTCAATTATATGTGACATCAAAACGCGTTGTTATTATTTTGACGAAAAAAAGATTGTCTTTGAATTTCCATCGACGTGTACATTCAGTAAAAAACGAAGCAAAGACAATTTCTTTTTCTATCCTATGCGAAAATGCAACACAGACGGTCGTTTCTTTTTTAGTCTATACAATAATTGTATTTTTATTTTATTTAAAATTTTGCTGTTAGCTGTATCTGTAGAGCCGGGCACACGTTAAGCCTCTATGTCTGTGCTGCCATTTTTGGCGAGGATTAGTTTAAATATGGATGTCTCCTTTTATTTTCTCCCTGTTTAATCATTTATCGACCGTCTTCTAACGTGTTGCATTTTCTCTTTCTTTCCCGATCCACCTTCCTGATGGCGACTGAACTTCGAACATGGAAATGAAACCATAACTGAACATCCTGTACACAATATACATGTAACTCGCACAAATTGTGATTATAATTGTATTTTTTGTCATGACGAAATCGAAAAATTGAATCATGAAATTTTGTTACCATTAATTTAAAATTCAAAATCCATCACTAAATACTTTAATAATGCCATTTTATATTTTACAACGACGCGTCATTGCTACAAAAATTACAATTGATATAACAATTACAATTGACACTAATGTTACATTACAATTACAATCAACAACTATAACACGATATCATTAACGATAAATACAATTCAACTGTCACTGTGCCTAACATTCTTAACACTAATGTTACATAATAATTACGCAATCAATCATCAATATCATTTACTATAAAAAACAATCAACTAAAACCGGTATCATCGTTATTAACACTAACGTTACATTACAATCACAATCAACAATTATCATATAATTTACAATAACAATCAATCAACTAACATTATCACTTACATTATTAACACTAATTTTATATAATCACAATAAAAATTATCACACGGTATAATTTACATATTATCTAATAACAATCGCGCAAATAATAATTGTCACATATCATTTAAAATAACAACCAATCAACAAACTGTTACCTATATTATCAACATTAAACAACGATCACGCTATCAACCGTCGCCTCACGATGACCTCTACAATAACAACACCACAACACTGTTGCTGCTACATGACAACAACAGTTACTTCAGCGCTGCAACGCCAGCACAGACCGAGAGCAGCTTCATGGACAGTGAGCTCTTTGAGCAAATTAGGGCCTTCGAACCTGATGGTCTGGATGACTTCGACTTCTACAGCGCCAACATGAGCATGAAGTGAGGTTAGTACTTGAGTTTTCTTTTATTATGGAATAAGGGTGACAACACACAATCCATCTGATCATGAAGGTTAGAGAACAGGGGAACGATCACTACGTACTAAGGTACAGCCCGCCTGTCCTTGAAAATTGTAGAATTTATAGCGGCGCTGACGTCGGTGAGTAGTGACTGCGAAGTTAGCTGTTTATGAGTACAAGTAGGTGAAGTTAGTTGAATAATGTACAAATTTTCATGATCCATAATTTTGTAATTCTTGACAAAAAGAAACATTAAAAAATGGAGAAATATTTTATTGTACGTGCATGTGCAAGTGGTTTAGCATCTGATCGAAAAAATAGACTGAAAATGACTTTTATTGACCGAACTCAGCGATCGCAACGCTTCACTTACGGTGTCCATATTTCTGGGACACTATTTTCTACGGCGATCGTTCTCCTGTTCTCTAACCTTCATGATAATAGGATACTGTGGCCCATAGACATTTACATTTACCCTCGATTAAGAATCAAAATGATGAAGATGGGACGCCTTGTCTCCAATAAAAACGGTCTCTGGTTCTCTACACTCGTATTTCACGCTGGTATTCTGCGAAAGCGTGGTCCTACCCCGGACGAGCCGACGTATGACGACTTTACTAAATACACAGCGTCACGAACTCATTTGTTAAAAGTCCCAAATAATTATTGGCCTAAGTCCCACACGGACATGGAAATTGAGCTTCTTGTTATTTATGGGGGTTCATTACTATTCTATTTATATTATCTCTACCAAAAGTTCATTACTAAACGTAGGCCTTAACTTTAAGTTTCCCTCTGTCGGCTTTTAAAACGGGTAAGTGGATATTCTTACACCGGTATACAGTTGAGTAGTATGGGGCCCAAATATGCATAATACGCAGTCCACCTGATGGATTGTTTCTTTTTTATAGTATCCTATGGGTGACAAACGGGCACACAGTCCACCTGATGGTAAGTGATTGCTGTGACCTATAGACATCTACATATATCATCGATAATAAATCAAATGCAATGCGTTGTCACCTGTGAGGACTTACATGTAATGCCTAGTTTCCAGTAAAAAGGGTCTCCGTTTCTCTACACTCACCATACGAAACATAGCAGCGTTAAGCCAGTTAAGAACGCTGGTATTTTGTGAGAGCATGGTCCTTCCCCGGTCGTGTTGACCCGTTTGTACTACAACTATACTACTAATATAACTGCAGCGTCTACCACGTGAGAATAAACTGCTATATTTGGTGCGAAGGTGCCTTCTCGCTCGAGCCGACCCATTTGCGCTACAACTACGGCGTAGCTTTTTTCTATAAAGCTCACGTGACGGACGAACTTCTGTCCACCTGGTAGTAACTACTGTACCCCACGAAGACTTATCGTAAAATTGAAACACAAAGAAACCTACAGATTTGTCAGCTAGACAGCGTTGTCGCCTCTGAGGAATAAGATGATATACCCCACAGCTTGTAAACATTGCTTCCTAAACGCTTCAGACCGGAACGCAGTATTGCATAAATAGGTAAGAGGGTTGTACAAACGAACATGCAGTTCTTTTAATGGTAAATGAAATATTTAATTTTTTTATAGAATTGGGTGACAAACGAGCACACAGTCCACCTGATGGTAAGTGGATGCTGTGGCCCACAGACATCTATATTTATCCTAAATTAAGAATCAAAATGCAAACGTGTTGTCACCCCTGAGGGCTAAGATGGAATGCGGCAGTTAATACGAAACAGGAGCGTTACGCTTCTGTTTCACGCTGGTTCGTTCGTGTTACAACTATAATATAACTGCAGCGTGGCTTTACCATATAAAAATTCTGGTTCTGGAAGGCATCATCATCTCCACACTCATTCTCGATTAACCCTTCAACCCCTAAGCGGTCGAATTCGACCGCGGCGCTATTCCTTCAAAATTCAAGCGGTCGAATTCGACCGCGCACACCCACAGCACTTTAAACCATTAAAACTTATATTTAGAGACTACTTTTCTATGAAGAATTGCATTGTAGAATCAATATGAAATTTTCTATCCTCTAGTGCAATAAAAAGTTAGGTAGTCTATGGATATTTATTTATAATCTACGATCATTTCGTACGCCATTTTCGCGTGAATGTTATTGTGTTGATTTTTGGATTTTTCTAGTGTTTTATTATAAAATTGTAATGAAAGTTTTTGTGTGAATATAATTTATCTTTTTAAGTAAATAATTTCGTGTAGTATATATATTGAAATAATTATGATTTTCACGCTGCCGAAATTCTCTTGGTATATTTTGTTTTTGTTATCAAAATACAATAGTCTTTTTGTAATAAACTAAAACCTGACTTATATAGATAATTTTGTATAGATCTTATAATGCCAAACTTCTTCGTAGAAAAATAGTCTCCAAATATAAGTTTTAATGGTTTTAAGTGCTGCGGGTGAGTGCGGTGACAACTGCATGAGAATTTTAAGGGCACTGAGGGGTTAAAAATCAAAATGCAGATGCGTTGTCGCCCTTAGGACTACGACGGGACCTCGTTACCACCTACCAGTAAAATATCCTATCACCTAGTACGATATACAATTTTAGAAACTAGTCGACTTTTTTATAATTAAGGATGATTTTTACGACTAATTTGAATATTTCTTCCGTAGGTATCGGTTGCATCAATCAATTTGCAGTTTTAAGTCGATAAAAATATCATACAGCTGCTGCGAGTCAATTTTAAAGGAGCTAATTTAACGTTGATATTTATGTCGACAAGTTCATTACCGTGCCATAGATTATATTATGTGAAGCATTCTATATTAATCTTTCTTAACTGTGAAACGTGTAGGAAAGGTGAATCATCCCAGTGTAATAAATATATGACAATAGAATTCGGTTGTGCTATATCAAAACCCTGTACGCGCGTTTATAAAAATTGATTTTATTTTGTTTTATTATTGTCTACGTAGTACCTCTGGCGTCAACATTATCGTTTGAAACGTTACATTACCGTGTGTGAAGTAAAATCACAAAGTTTTTATTAAATAAAGTTGACAAACCAGCACACAGTCCACATAGTAAGTGAATGCTGTGGCCCAGAGACACCTACATCTATCCCAGATTAATAATTATAATGCCAGTGCGTTGTCAACCTTGAGTACGTAGATAGAATGCCTAGTTACTGGTAAAAAAAAATCTCGGGTTCTATACTCTCAGCACACGAAACACAACATCAATAAGCTTCTATTTCACGCTGGTATTCTATGAAAACGTGGTCCTTCTCTGTTGGAGCTGACGCTTTTGTACTACAACCATAATATAACTGTAGCGTGGTAGCCTTACCATTTTGTAAATATAATCAAAAAATTTAATTTTATAAATCTTATTTTTTCTTTAATAATTCCTTTTTTTTTTTTGACAAATGTGGTGTCTGGGATTTGATAGATATCATTAAATATAATATTTGTAGTATTAAGTCTTCATTATAGTAGTCTATACCAGGATTTTAACACAACAAAAACTTCGAGGACATTTTCAATTCTTTTCGCGATCTTAAATTTATCTTTAAGGAGTTACTGGGTTTTGATATAGTGCAACCGATTTGCATAGGTATTACCAAAAATTCCTTTGACAGAAAGCGCCAAAATTTGACAGATAATGTAGACGACTAAAACTATCCTTATAAAGACGCCATTTTAAAGTGTCGTCTATTGGTATTTTACTTTCTACTTAACGCTGGTTACAATTATTTTAACATTAATAGATTGATGAGATGATCCTCTTTTCACTTCACACTATATAATGTCAAGCATTCTTTAAAGATAATATATCTTGGTATTAATATACATTTTATATTTGTGTAAAATATACAACTTATTAATATGTATGTTAAAATGTTAATTCGCAATTTTGGATATATACGTTCGTAAAAAATAATATAGTGGCGACTAAAACCCAGTAAAATTTACAACCAATATTTTTATTCAAGCATGAAATATGAAAATATCATTAACTCAATGTTTTTAACTTTTTTTTTTTCAAAATGCATCTAAAGAGTGTAGGATTAGTGGCATTGGTTTTGGCGCCTTTTTTGTTGTTTTTTATTTTACAGGCACACCAGAGTACCAAGTAATACAGTGCAATTGTAGATAGGTTAATTATATTTTCGATAAATTCATTAAGAAAGAAAATAATTACCTGTAAATAATAAAATATCAGGGATAAATACGTTCACTTGAATTATTTTAAATATAAATATTTCGTACACCATAGCTGGTGCCATAGAGTTAGGGAATAAAACTGACAGAAATGTGCTTAATGTAAAAAAATCAATACTTTTTTTATTAAAATTTTATATAGTATGTATATAATTATTTCTTTACATTTAAGCCTAAATAATTGCTATATTTACTTATATTTATAAGAAATAGTTGTGTATAACCACAGATTGTTAGTATTGACAGATTAATTGCACGAACCATCAGTTATATTGTTTTGTATGTTTTTTTTTTAAATTAAATAAAGTACCGCACTCAACGTAAAAATACACTGAAATTTAATGTTTAAGGATATCTTTTTCGCAATGAATTAAATTGCTTTGCGATTTGCAATACACGAAAAATTTATAAATTATGTCACTACTATGATGGTTAATGACCATTCTTTATCTCAAATTAATTTAAATTTAAAGTACGATTATTGCTTGTGAAATTAGAAAATGACACAACGAATATAATAACATTAGAATTTTGATGCTTCCTGGAAATACAATAGCATTTTGCCAGTCTTAAAAATCGATAAAGTTTATGAAATTTTAACGATTGTAATGGGTTCTCTAAAACAAAGAATTACAGTTTGTGATACAGTGTGGCCTTATATTTCTTGTTTAGCACTTGCATTTATAATATTAAAATTAAAAGTTTAAAAATTAAGATAGTACTTTTATATGTAATTCGACTTTTGACTTATATTGGTAACACGGTGTATATGTAGTTGCTTTCACTACACTTAATT